GGTCACACTGCGGGTGCCTAGAGGTCACGTGATCTTACAAGTATCCTTCTCTGGGGAGGGGGACGGGGGCACTGCTAGGCCAGCTGGACCTTTGCTCCTTTCCAGCACTCTCCTCCCCACTCCGCACTCCCCCCCCCCCCATGCTCCCGCTGTCTGAATTCTAAGGACATGAAATTATTCGAACAACATTACATACTATAACGATTTTTAGATGATCTTCCTGGCCAGGGCTTCTGGCAAGCCACTTGGGCGCTGTTGAGGGTTATGTTTTTGCAGCCACAGTAGGAAGAGGAAAAGGCTATAGTCCCAAATGGAAAGGCAGGCCCTAGCGGTAGGGTGCCGAATTCCAGGGGAGGATGGTCCGCAGAGGTGAGCTGTTTGTCAACTTGGAGAGTTGGGGGAGGGGGAGGGTGTTGGGGAGGAGAGAGAGACAAAGAAGTCGAGGATCATGCATGACCCGGAAGACCCCCTGGAAGTGGGACCCAGTTCCTGGTAGAGCCTTCCTTCCTCCAGGGAGGTGGCAGTGTCTGCGGTGGTTTTGGGGTGTGAGGAAAGCAAGGGGGCTCTAAAGGCAAATATTGTCAATTTCCTCATAGTTGCTCCACACCTAGGAAAACAAGAGCTGGTTATGAATATCTTAATGCCCTGTCTGTGAAAGGAATCTTAGCAACTAAGCAACTAAGGCGTGGGCCACCAGGATTCCCAGTTATCTACTAGGAACAGATCACCTAACCAAGTGAATCAAATTGGGAAATTCACTTGTAAAAGTGCTCCCTTCCTCCAAGAAAGAGCGACACCAAAATGCAACAGAATACAATTGTATTTCCCAAAAGAGACCTTTTGGTGCCTCATGGACCATGTCATCACACACTTTAATAGTCCTTAGTAACATTTCTTTAGAGAGCATCAACTACGTTATTTGCAACCAGCACCGGCCAGACTAGGGTCTTCAGCTCCTTCCCAAACCTGTAATAGGTTTCATTGAGGGTGGGGTGGGATGGGGGAGGAGGGCAGTGCTGTGTGTTGAGGGAGAGACAGCAAACTGAATGCTCTGAGAACCAGAAGGAGCTGTCTCCTTTACCCTGTTAAAAGTGCTGGTGACCTTTCTGACCTCTTCCAAGAGAAGGTTGGTTCTGCAACAGACCTCCACCTCTGATTTCTTGATTAAGGTCTTCAACCTAATCAATTCAACCTCTGGCCTAGATAGACAATCTTGGCTAGGAGCCAGAGTAAATAGTCCAAGGATGTTCTCAGGGAAGAAATAGGAATTACTGCCTTTAGATAAAAATAAAGTTTTTTTCTGCTGTAAAGCAAAGCATTTTAGAGACTCCAGGATAAGTTTTTCAAAATTACTCTAATCCAGATCTCTCTCCAGTTCCAATGCACATGCAAAGGCGATCTCTGCACCCTAAGGTCAGATCTCAGCCTGCAGCAACACACATCCACCCTATTCCATGAAAGGGCATCTCATCTAAGAGTTTGGGACATAATCCAGCAGGAGAATCTGAGAAAGGTTCCCCATGAGCAGTTGCTGAGAAAGTATCAACAGAGGGCACCTCCCCACCAGCGGTAGGACAACACTTTCCTGCTCTCCTCTCTGCTCTCTGCCAGTAGCTATGAGGCATAGCTGCTAAAAGTGTGCTTTGCACATAGGAACCCCTGGGGGCACCTGATTTTTGGCCAAAGCTTGAAACCTGGGGAAGGTAGAATGGGGGCGCCCTAGGCACCCGGAGCCCGCAGGGCCAACCACGCTAGAACCTCAGCCCCCACCCGGAGTTTTGCGCGCTATTCCCCCACTCTAAGGATGACAATTTACGTCTTGGGGCAAAGCCAACTACCTCTCTCTGCAGTGTGGTGATCTCCAAATCCCAGAGTGCTGGAAGGGCACCTCTGGGTAAAGTTTCCAACAGAAGCCAACAAGCGGCGCTGTTGCTGCGCCCTGGGTCCTGGAAACCCCAGGCCCAGCCTCTCTTGGAGAGAACCTGCGCTCTCTTGGGCTGAAGGGGCTGGGGGGGAGGGGGGGAGGACCAGAAGGGGCGCTTGGCCAGGTCCCAGCCTGGCACTTAGGACTCTATGCTGCCCACTGGCTTCTGGAGATCTTGAAGAACAAGAGAGCTGCTTCCTCTGCTAGGAAAGGTTGGAAAAGACTGGTCCTGGATCGCGCAGTGTCCCTCTGCTTTCTGCGCTGGGTGCAGGGTGCATGTCGGAGACACTAGTTGGTGCTCCATAGGTCCCCTTGCCTCCCCGCAGCCCCCTCCCCCCCCCCCCCCTCCTGCACCCACACTTCTCCTGACCCTCAGCGAAGGGCGCCTCTGGGCTGGTGCCTGTGGCTGCAATGCCACTGGGCCAAGAGAACAGTTTCCTTTCAGCTTTCCCCCCACTGCCACTCCTCACAACTGTAACCTTGTTTGGCTATTGAAATGCTACTTTGGGTTGAGGACATTGCCTGGGGAAAAGTTCGAAGCAAATTCTGCTTGACTCTTACTTGTGGCTGTGCAGACCATTCCAGAGTCTCCAGGCAGAGAGAGAGATTTTATGAAGGCCTCTGAAGGAAGCCAGGTGTGGCAAAGGATGTCGGACCTGACAAAAGACTGCCCTGAATATGGCAGAAGGATGCAGCTTGCAAATGAACTCACCTAAGCCTTGGGCAAGGCGTGATCAAAGGACAAATGACTGTGGCAGTGATTAGATCCCCAGTTAATCTGCTGCTGAGAGTTCAGTCCCAATACCGCATCCCTTGCCTGGGAAGCCCGGGCACTGTCACCACAATGGAGTCCTCAAACTTGGAAGGAATCCTGGCATCTGTTAGGCTACTGGATGCCAGGCCCGCGTCGGTTGGGTAGTTTCCTAAAACGCGCTTCACTTAGCAACAGCACAGGAGGCCCAGAGAACCCAGGAGGGCATCTGAAAAAGGTGGCAAGAAGGCAAGACAAGTAGAAAACTGGATTGTCAGAAAACAGGAGCAGGTGGGGATTGCGAAATCATTTTGTTTTCTGAGCCGCTCCTTTCACTCAGTGTCAGCTTAAGTGTGCACTCCCATGCACGTGCTCGCGTGCCTGCATACAAACGCAGTCTTGGGCTCGCGCGCATACACGCACACACACACACACAAAATAAAATCCACACACAGAACCATTTCAGATATTACTTTAATTTAAAACCCTGTATCCGCGCATCCATTCAAAGGATCGAAGCCCTTGGCTATGGACCTTTGCTTCCTTCCCTCCTGAAGAATAAGAAGACCTGGACCAGAGGGAACCCAGACTTCAGGGGCAAATTTGGAGACCCAAGCTTCCAGGAGATAATACCAGGAGGGAGCCGGGATTCTGGTGTCAGCCTTCTGCCGGCCCCAGAGGGGGCTGGCCTGCAATTCCTGCAGGAAAGGGGGAAACTCCCAGCGGTGTGCAGGCAGGCGGTGAAGGATCACCTGGTCTTGCATTAGCGCTAAGACACTAAAAGCCTAGGTTTTTTTTTGTTGTTGTTGTTGTTGTTGTTATTGTTTGTCTGTTTCTGTTTCACACTTTGGATTTAAGTCTTTCTTTTTAGTTCCCCACCTTTCCACGGGCTAGGGCGGGGGAGGGGCGGACACCTTATTTCAGCCTCTGCCACTTCTGCCCGCCTGGTTTCTCCTTTCCACCCTGTCGCCTAGGGCTGCTCCGGGAGTTTTAAAATCTGTGCCACTTGCTTGGGTTGTCCTAGGCAATTGTTGGGGCCAATACTTTTAGGCAGACGACCCGACGACAAACGGGTGAGTGTCCCGCTCCGAGTCTGGAAGTTCCGGTCAGGAAGGCTCTAAAACAAAAAGAGAGAAGGATGGATTCCGTTAGCAGAGTCCGCTTCCTGAGGAGGCGGCATGGCTGCTGGGGGACAGCAGTACTCAGTGGTCCTGGCAGGTGCGCGGCCAGTGGAGGGGGCCCTTTGGTCCGCCTGAGGACCTCCTCGGCTCCTCTCCGGCCACCGTCTCCCCCCTCAACCCTACTCCTCCCCCCCCCCCCCCCGCCAAGAAACTTTTCTTTTACTTCGAGAGGCTCCGTGTTGCCATGAAAACGGATTTTCCAAGGGGCCTGACCCTCCCCCTAAGGGGCATCGGACTGGAAAACCGAAATGGCCAGAGAACAGAGACAAAAAGGGGCCGCTAAGCGGGGGCCTGGAGAGAGAGAGAGCCGAAACCAGTCCACCCCCTTCTGCTTCCCCACCCACACCCCTCCTGCCCCCACCACACCTCCCCTGCCCCCACCCACACTGCTGCCTGTGAGCGCCCAGGCCCTGCGCATGCAGCCTTCCGCTTTCATTCACAACCAACCTTCGCCTAGTCTCACAGTGGCTGTGCGCTCCGCGGTCCCATCTCTAAGCCTGTCTCCTGCGCAAGGGTTCCTGAACCCTGCTCTGTCCGCTTGGACAGGGGCTAGTTCCAGCGAGGGCTTTTCAGAGCTACAGGCCAGTGTAGCTCGTTTGCACCCTGAGCCCCAAGCTCACCAGGATGCTGGCGATGCCCAGTGTCCAAGCAACTGGCAGCAGAAGCGGTTTGAGGACTTTTGCACAAATGGCGCAAAGCTTTGCACGGTGGCCCCTGTAACCAGTGGTCCTGGATGGGGCTTCAAAGTTGTTGATTGAACCCCACGGACGCCCTTCTTTCTGCTCCCCCCCCCATCCTGCTCGTGCGTCCCCTCCCCCTCTGTCACCTCCTAGAGTTTCCTTCTTTCAAACTTTTGGAGACCCTAATTGGTGGTCTCTGAGTGGCTCTCCGAGACTCCCGCCTCCTGAATAACTCTCATCACGTCACCGGGCCGAGAGGGGCGTGGAGGTGAACGAAAGGGCTCCCCGAACTTTTTTTTTCCCTGTGGGGGACGATCAGGGGCTCCATGGTGATTGGCCAGAGTGCATCACTGCAAACCTGTCAATCACGGGGGCTCCCGCAGGCAAGGGGTGGACCGAGCCCAACCCGAGGGGAATCGGAGCAGGTATATAAGGGGCCTGGCTATTGCCCGGCCAGACCGCGAATGCGACCGGCTCAGGGTGACACTGCAGGTGAGAGTGGCCCGCGGGTGCCTGTAGACCTGGCGCGGAGCGCTTCGGCAAGCCTATCCTTCCCTCCCGACCCGCTGGCCCACCGGCCCCCAAGTGCCCCTCCGACGGAGCCCCCAGGCCTTTTTACCGCGGCCGCTCCAGCCCCCGGAGCGCCTTCTCCTCCCGCCACTCTGGCGCACCTTCTTCCCGCTCCGGCCATGTACAGCCTGCTGGAGACTGAACTCAAGAACCCCGTGGGGCCATCTACTCCGGGGACAGTAGCCGGTGGCCCCGCGGCCCCGGGCGGTGCGGGCAAGAGCGGCTCGAACGCAGGCAGCAACGTGAACGCGGGCGGCGGCGGCAGTGGTGGCGGCGCGAGTGGAGGCGGCGGCGGGGGGGGCAGCGATCAGGACCGCGTGAAGCGGCCCATGAACGCCTTCATGGTGTGGTCCCGCGGGCAGCGGCGCAAGATGGCCCTGGAGAACCCCAAGATGCACAACTCGGAGATCAGCAAGCGCCTGGGCGCCGACTGGAAGCTGCTGACCGACGCCGAGAAGCGGCCGTTCATCGACGAGGCCAAGCGGCTGCGCGCCGTGCACATGAAAGAGTACCCGGACTACAAGTACCGGCCGCGTCGCAAGACCAAAACGTTGCTCAAGAAGGACAAGTACTCCCTGCCCGGAGGCCTCCTGCCCCCCGGCGCTGCCGCCGCCGCCGCGGCTGCTGCCGTCGCGGCCGCCGCCAGCACCCCGGTGGGCGTGGGCCAGCGCCTGGACTCGTACACGCACGTGAACGGCTGGGCCAACGGCGCGTACTCACTGGTGCAGGAGCAGCTGGGCTACGCGCAGCCCGCCACCATGAGCAGCCCGCCGCCGCCCGCCCTGCCCCAGATGCACCGCTACGACATGGCAGGCCTGCAGTACAGCCCCATGATGCCCCCGGGGGCCCAGAGCTACATGAACGCGGCCGCCGCCGCCGCCGCCGCCTCGGGCTACGGGGGGATGGCGCCCTCCGCCGCCGCTGCAGCCGCCGCCGCCTACGGGCAGCAGCCCGCCACCGCCGCAGCCGCCGCCGCCGCCGCCGCCATGAGCCTGGGGCCCATGGGCACGGTGGTGAAGACGGAGCCCAGCTCCCCTCCTCCCGCCATCACCTCGCACTCGCAGCGCGCGTGCCTCGGCGACCTGCGCGACATGATCAGCATGTACCTGCCGCCCAGCGGGGATGCGGCAGATGCCTCCTCGCCGCTGCCGGGCGGCCGCCTGCACACCGTGCACCAGCACTACCAGGGCGCGGGGACTGCTGTCAACGGAACCGTGCCACTGACCCACATCTGAGAGCCGCCCCTGCACCCCCGACCCACCCCCCGCACCCCCACGTCGGAACGCCTTGTCGTTTAGCTTTGCTTGCCTGGGTCTGTTGCCTTGTACTTGTGAAGGGGAGGACAGAAAGTTTTGCCCTAGCCGTCCTGGTTTGTGCAAAAGTAAAAGAAGTCCAGGGCAGCTGAGATAGGACTTTCTAGAGCTCCACTTCCCTTTCCTCCCCTTTTGTAGGCTGGGATCGCTGTGATGTTGGCAAAAGAAAAAGCAGCCCCCCTCCTCCTGCGGGGTGCCCGGGTTTTCCCGGTTGCATTGGAAAATGTTGTCTCCTTAGTTTGCTGTTAGTGATGGAGTGAGTGAATGGGAGGAACTGGACTGGTGCTCTCCAGTGAAGCTGGCCTGAAACCTACAACGCTCCCTCCTCCAGTCTCTTTGCATCTGTTTTTCCTCAAGGGTTTTTTTTTTGGGGGGGGGGGGGCTGACCACGCGGAGGGGCGCGGCAGCTAAATCCGATGTTAATTTATAGCCAAGTGTGCGTGTGTTTCCCGCCTCGCAGTCCTTGGCCGCGGGACTGCTTGTCCAGTCCGCATATAGTTTGTTGCGTTGTGATTTCGGCCGTGATCAATATTTGATACTTTGTCGCGCTAATGTTTTCAGATTTCGTTTGTGTCGTGGGGAAGGGGCTATTTTGTTTCATGTTTTTCAAGGGTTTACTCGTAATTCTTAAATGAGAGATCAATAAATTTTATAACCAACATCATGGAGTCCTTATAATTTTATGAGCCTGAAACTTTAGATGCGGGTTGGGAGATTGCAACCCGGGTCCTGTCGTGGGGGTAGGAGGCACCTGGGGGACGAAAAGTGATCTGAAATGGTTTCTTTTTACCTACTGGTCAACCAAAATACAGCAGCTGCCAATATTTTCAACTGAAACTCTGAGGAGAAAGTAGTTTGTCTTCCCGGGAGACGGACAGTGTAGGTGAAGCGAACTTCCCGTGGCCACGCACTTGTTGATAGCTCTGAGAGGCCAAGGGAACCAGTAAAAAAAGGGGCACCTCTACCTTTGTGCACTTGGTCGGGGAAGACAGTTGAGCAGAGCTGAAATATTTACAAAAAGAAAACCCTTCGGAAATCTCAATGATCTTATTAAAAATAAATAGATTACAGGAATCCTTAGGAGGAAATAACTATATTCAGACCGTGGTGGCCGAAGTTGGAGAACCAGCATTCAAAGAACAGGTTTGGTTTTGCAAAGTGCATGTTAGATCTCTAAAAAAAAAAAAAAAAAAAAAAAAAAAAAAGATCTAAAGGGTCTCTAAAACTCCGAATGGTCTTTTCTTTTTGACTTGTCAACCCAGTCCGCATACTTATTTTCTAAAAGAGTAAAAGAGGCTCCCTCTCATTCCAAGCCTGGAGCCCACTTTCTACTCCTCCCCCACCCACTTCCCTCAATCCCAGACCCTTGGCCATGCCGCTGTGTCCCCTGAAAGCCCTTTCGTTTCGCTCTGGCCACACGGCCCCAGTGTATCTGTATGGAGTCTAGGGGGGGAAAAAAACAAATAGAACCAGTGTTTTTTTCCTGCCTCCTCAGCTGTTTGAGGTGATTTCCTTAATCCCTTTAATCCTGTTACTTTGCTATCCCAGTATAACTAAACTAGGACTTTCCAATAAGCTTGGCCTGGTGCACAGGTTTTAACCTCATCTCCTCCTAGCCACAGGTTTGTTTGCTCAAAGTCTGCTGGGAATCTGGGCGACAATCTCCCGTAAATTGGTTCGAATTCCACATTTCCAACCAGCTTCTTTGTGCCGGCCAGCCTTTCACCTGCTGGCAGCAGCGGGTTTCAGGGGGAGGGGAAGGGGCTTTCAGCAATTTCAGGGGTCGTTCCAGCTTTTTACACATCACTGAGGATCCTGAAGACTAAGCTCACCATGCCTCTCAGGGAGAAGTCCAGTCTCCCAGGATAAGCAGCACCATCCCTCCTCTGAGGACACTCGCACCTTCATCCCCTCACCTATAGCATTCTACCTCATACTGTGCAGCAAGGGGTGGGAGGGCTCCTGGTGGTGAATTTACAGATTCCAGCTCATTGCCCTCCACCCCTTGCTCCTTCCAGGCCCGCTGCATCCCTGCTGAGCTTAGGCAAGGCCTCCGTGTCTGTCCTGTCCCATGCTACTCCCTCTTTTCCTACCCGGGGGCCACAGACCTTGGTCCTTACAGGCTGGTTTGTGCTGCAGGGATTGGAGCTAACTTAACAGACTATCATGATGCTGAGACTCAATCTCCTCCCTGTGCTTCAGTGTCCCAGGGTCTGGAGGGATCTATCTTGTCATATTCACTCCCCTATTCATATCTTTCACAGTGTTTGGGTCTCAATAAAGTACCTGTTTGTAGGTTACTCTGGGTTCAAATTTCGAGCATGTGGGCTCAAGTTTGATCTGAAATGACTCGGAGAAAGGGAGGGTGAAAACAAGCAATTCCGACCCGTTGAGGGGGGCGGTGTTGAGGGGGCGGTGGCAACCTGGGATAAACTGACACTGCTTTTCTGGAAGAGTCCATTGTGTAGTTGCCTTCTTAGAAGTGCCAGGGTCACCCTTTCAGCGGGTCTCACATACTGCTCACTCCCTCTCCAAACATCCATGGCTTTGTGCTCCACTTTGTCTGATTTCCAAATTGTCAGTAAGAGAAAATATTTCATCAATCAGCACATTTGGAGGATTTAAATTGAAAGACAATTAAAAAAAACCAAAAAACTTCAGCAACTGCAGTGAAACTTCTATCCTCTAGGCCAGAGTTTTCAAACTGGAGCACTCCCCTACACGCGCGCGGGCACACACACACACACACACACACACACACACACACACACACACACACACTCTTCTTTACACACCTCTAACAGGGACAACTGAACTGCTCCTTAATCTGTTTTATAGATCGGGGCTCTTGTAAGGTTTTTAATTCGAAATAAGGGTTCTACTGCTTAAGTGTCCACAATAACAAAATTTGGTCACATCCAAACACCCCTCTCTCTTATACATATGAAGAAGCTGGCCCCTAAGTGCTCAAGGTTTCTTAGCTGGTTCTATGGCAGCCCAGGCATAGAGGGATCTCTGCTGCACCACAAGATGAAGAGAAATGGATGAAATCCAGTCTTAGCTGCCTCCCAAGCTCACAATCCCGCAGGTCTCTGGAGAAAAGAGATAATTCCTAACACAGACACCTAGTAGCCACTGCTTGGTGAACAATGAAGTGATGTGGGGAGCACAGGGTCTTACAAAGTGGAAACACCAGCCCCTATCTTTTATCTTTCCACTAACAGGAGCAAGGTTACCTTTTGGTGGGAATTATCCTACATAGCAATTTTCTTTCCTGTCAGGTCTACACAACTCCCTTACTAATTCCCCTTCTAGAATTTTAGAGGGGGAGAGGCCACCCAAAATGCAAGCAGAGATATATAAACAAAGATGCTCATCACAGACAGCCCAAATAGGAAGACATTATGCAAATAATTGTTTTCAAAAAAGGCTACTTTGCAGATTAAAAATTGTTTGTGGAGAGATTTTCATCACATAGGGAAATGCTTAAACCACAAAGTGAAAAGAGTGAGATACACAAGTATATTGGGTATGTATGGCCTATTTAAAAATAAGTATGCATGACTGAAAAAATATGCAAAAAATGCAGGGTAGTATATGAATACTGGTTAGTCTTCCTTATATATTCTGGTATTTTTCAATTGTCTCTGATAAGATTTTATTTCTGTTATCACCAGAAAAGGCATTTTAAAAATATATTTCCTCCCTATTACAAAGACAGAAAAATGTGTCTCCCTGTGAAAGAAAAGTTCCAGTTTTCCCTTCATTTGTTTTGAACGAGGAGGGAGCAGGGAGCCACAGGAGCAGTAATCCTTCAGCTTTCTTCAGCTCGGGCAGTGAACACAAGTTGGACAAGCACACTAGAGCAGTGATTTGGCAAACTCATTCATGAACAGAGCCAAATATCAACAGTACAATGATTGAAATTTCTTTTTGGAGCCCAAGTTTTTAAACTTAAACTTCTTCTAACTCCACTTCTTCAAAATAGATATGCCCAGGCCGAGACATTTTGTGGAAGAGACACACTTAAGGGGCCAAAGAGCCGCATGTGGCTCTCAAGCTGCAGTTTGCCGACCATGGCACTAGAGGAACACCCGCCTCTTCTGCCAAGTGCCCTCTTCAGCAAGCAGGAACAGGAGCAGATTAGTGAGGGCTCAGTCTTTCTTCAGACCCACTCACTAAAGAAAAAGACCTCTTTAAAAGCCAAGATCAACAGTGGGAAGCAGTAGCCACCAAGGACCCAGAAGGCACATAAACCCAAGGGCTGAGTAACCCTCATTGCCCTCTTGGGATGGGGAGGGGAGAACAAGCCTAGGGATTGGGTCCCAGGACAGGAGGAGGAGGGAACTAGGTGAGCACCCACCACCAGCTGAATGAAACATAATATGTTATGTCCCTTCTCCCCATCATCACCATCCTCAGCCACTCCACTGTCTTTTCTGCTGGACCACTACCATGGCTTCCCACCTGCTCCCCATCAACTATTCTTCCTATAGTGTTCCCTCCACTTTGTAAATATATAACCTATCATTGTTACTTCCCTTTTTATTAACCTTCTAGAGACTACTTTTGATGGCTCTTGGGAAAATCTCCCAACTGCTCAGAAGCTGTGTTTGATCCAGCTCTTCCCATCTCTCTGGGCTCAACTCCTTGCACTTTTACTCTTCCTTATTTCAACCCTAGCAAGAATTTCTTTGACAAATGTTTGCTAAATATGTTATGATTCCTAAGGTTTCATGTCTAAATACAATTTAAAGTTCATTAATTGTCTCAGATACTGATTATTTTGCACAGCACATGTTTTAGTTTACATCAGTGGAATTTCCCAAGATCTACACATCAAGCACAGATTTTCTAACAATTAATAAAACTTATTAGCAAAAATACATTATTTCTTTCCTGTCTCAAGGGTTTTTGATTTG